TTTTAAGCTTTTTGACCGGATAAATAATATTTTATTGACATTTATAGAAAACAAAAATTTAATTATTCAAATACAATCCAAGTGAAGACGGTATAACCAAACATTTAAATAAATTTTCATTTTTTTTTCTCAAATTATTTTTAAAAGCACTGAGCATTGTCAATTTCAACCTCCTAATAGTATCAACTAGATCCAATTTGCTTCCAAAAACATACACTGAGCATCGGAGCTTATGATCAGAGCATTTTTTTTAGACTGGACAAAATGAAAAGAAAATTGTAACTAATTTTCAAGCCCCTCCCATTGAAAAATCCTGCGGACGCCACTGTGATCGACGAAGTATTGCAAAGTGGTTTGATGAAAGAAATGACAACTGCACTTAGACGTGTTGCTGATAATTCAAAAAGTTTATTACTTGATGTTGATAAATGATAACAACATCTGCGAACAGTTTAATAGTGCATTAATAAGCACATAGGCGGTCAACGAATTAATTTTTCTCAAAAACAGTCGTACACCACTAAAATATATACTGCTGTACTGCTCAACTGCTGTAGTATCATTTAATACAGGTGGCAATTATATACGAGAGCTTCACAAAAAGATAACAACCAAAAGTCCAGGTACATTATTTAAAAAGTACCTATAGTGAGTTTAATTAATTAATTTTAATTTTATAATATTATTATGGCATGAATTAGAATTTAGGTAATAGAAATTTTGAGTTTTTTACAACAGCGCTTTCAAATTAAAATTAAATAAATACTACCAAAACTTATATTTCACATTTCACATTTTTATATTTTGGTATATCGTATATTAGCTATGAGTAAATTAAAAATTGAAATAATTTGTATATTAAAGGTGTATAGGCACAATAATAAAATAAATAAAATATTTCATTATGAATTATTTTTCAGTATTTATAATGTATGAATAGTATTAATTTATTATTATTATGTGGGTAATTGTTTTAATATTATTATATGTGTATAGGAATCATAGCCAAAATTTTTTTGAAGCATACGGCAGATAAACGAATAACATTAAGACGCAGGAGAGCACTTTTTAAATTATCTGGTGTGTATAAATCAAAAAAAAGGTGGGCAAGTGGGTGTCGCTCTGTTGTACAGTAGGTTATAAGTATAAGGGATGGTATTGCATTTGAATTCAATGATATTATATCATTGTATAAGAAAAACGATTCTGAGCGGAGACGGTATGTCAGTCTAGGTATAAGACATATTCACATATTATATACATATATATGGTATTAAACAAAAAGTAGATACCTATAATAAATTCCAAATTAATCATATCACAATATCCATTAGGTACTTACAACGCGTTATAAAAACCATGATACTATCATAGATATATAATAATAATACACTTTTGAAGTTTCAAGCACCCACGAATAATATTATTCAATCACAACAAAAAAACTAAAATAGTTAGGTTTTTTAATATGTAATTTCGTCCATATTTGAATTTCAAATGTTTGTAAAAAATAACTGTGTACATATATTTTTTAGATTTTTTGGTTACAGTGTGAACTATTTATGAGAATCTTTGTTTTAAATTTTAAATCCTTAGCTATAAAAACTGAACATTTTATAATTTATTAATTAGAATGATTGAAAATTTTCGAGTTTTTGATAAATTTTGTCAAAATTAGATCTTTAAATGCTTAAAAAAAAATTGTGCTTATGTATTTTTATATTTTTCAATTGCTATTGACTATTGTAACAATATATCAGGAGCCTTGTATTAAATTTTTACACTTTTTGGCCCAACAGATAAAACTTTATTGATATTCATTGAAAAAAAAACTAAAAAAATTGAAAACTGAAAATTTCCGTAAATAGCTCAAAAAGAGTCAAAATATTTTCAAAATTGTATGGTGTATAGGAAATGCTAATATAAATATTCAGGGAAATTTGCATGTAGGTATCTACAGTTATTTGTTTTTGAATTACAACAAAATAAGGAAATCGCTACATGAGAAATCGAGTGAATATCCAATGTTGTAAAAATTTGAATTTCAAACGCTCATAAAAATTTAATTTGACTTTCCGGTAGAAATTTTTTTATTGTTAAAAGTAGACAAACTTATGAGTAAACTTGTATTACATTTTCAAATCTTAGAAAAAGAAGAAATAAAAATCTAAGAAATAAAAGAAAAATTTTTACGAATTCTTAACTCAAAATAATTTGCTAATTTTCGTGATTTTTCCATATTTTGTCAATTTTTTAACTTTAAATGCTTATAATAAAAAAAAATTGTGACTAAGGATTTTTAATATTTTTCATCTGCCTTTGAAAAAATATACTAGGAGCCTTGTATTAAATTTTCAAGCTTTTTTAACCAACAAATAAAATTTTATTGATATTTCTAGAAAAAAAACTAAAAAAAAATGGAAAATGAAAATGTCCCTAAACAGTTCAAAATAAATCAAAATATTTTGAAAATGTTATCGTATATAGAAAATGCAAATATAAACAACCAAAATGAAAATTTCATGTACCTAAGGTCATTTTTTTAAAGTTACACCAAAAACTAAATTCAATTTTGTGAAAAATCGATTTTGCGTAAAAATTCCCGTTTTTGCTTAATTTTTATGTTGTTTTTCCCGGTGCTTTTGAAAATTACTGAGCATTTTAAATTTTGACCTCCCAATGCACCAACGATATTCACTTTCCAATCGAACAAGATACTGAAGTTGAAAATCGAAGCATTATTTCTACTACTTATCGTGTACACAGACACAAAAGAAAAAAAGAAAAAAAGAAAACTATAAACTATATTATACTTGTTGAACTAATATTATTTTTTTTCATGGTTAAATAATAGGAAATTGTTGCGCGTTACCCTTTTATTATATTAATATAGGTAATATGATTATAATTTCTTTTTTAAATATAAATGTGGTGATAAATAATATAGGTCACATACTAAATCTATTTATTGATTTTATCCATTTGATAAACTATCAAATAAACTATCTATTTGATAACTGTAATTCATTGGATTGTGTAATACTTATAATATAGTAGTTTGTATAGTAGGTAATTTTAAACTAACAGTTACTTATAGAAATATTTTTTTAATAAATGTATGTTACAATTTGTTATCATTATATTTTACAACTATACATTTTAAATTAGTTATTTTTCTCAGTCAATGTACCCGATCTCTAAAAATTACAGAATGATAAATAAAGATTTTAGAGTATTATTATTATCATTACGAGTAGATTACCTATAATTATTATATTACTATATTAGGTATACCTACTACAAACATATTATTAATTTAAATAAATATTTGTAATTACTTATTATCATATTTTAATATAACATTAACAGTTGAACTTAAAAAATAATACACGGTAAATTAATATTAATTTTATTGCGCTGTATTTATTTTATTTACCATTTATTAGATTTTACAATAAGTATTATATTTAAATAAGTAATAATTCAATAACTTCAATTCAAGCTATGTTATAATACAGTTTCTACGATCTATATGTTGGGACATAAATTTAAGTAAACAGTATCTTAATTTATAATCTGTAGTTCGTAGGTACGCGAGGGTATTGAAAATATTACGGCGGCATTTGCGTATAATGAATTATATAATGATACGAATGGTACTGGACGAAGGTTCATAGACAAATAAACGGCGCTCCCGAAGTCCCGAACGAGCACTCGTCGCCGCCGTCGGCCGGTTGCGAATAGTAGGCGTGACTTAAACGCCGCGCGCTTGCGGATCGTGAAAACACCTAACAGCGCATCCTCTCGGTCGTTGCATGCGTACAGCTTTGGGTGACACGTCCTCTTAATGGTATATTGGTAATACACTACTACTGATAACTGCCAACTATGGGTATCTTAAAAATTATTAGAATTTTCAAATAGCTCGTTTAAAACTTTCTATTTTAATACATAGTTATGTTAATCAAGTATTCAACTATTATACATATATATATATATTAATTTTTGAACAATGTGCATTACTATAATTTGAATCTAAATTGAACTAACTGAAATATTTTGAAAAACATAGAGTATAGTATATTGAATTACAATATTAATCAATGTAGCATAGTTTTAAAAGCCTTTCAATAATGGATTATAGAAAACTTAACTTCAACTTTTTGTACAACCATTACAATTTAAAAATTGATAAAAAATCACATCAATATAAAACAAAGTTTAACACATAATATTTTTTTAGGAATAATTATTATTATAAAATTGTTGAAGACAACAAACATGGGCTTACCAATCCATAAATACACATTTTCTTTCTCCGTAAATAATGATGTAGATAGATTTTAAATTTAACAACATTTATTTAATTGTTTTGTGCAGATTGTGTTTTAGATTGGAAGTTGGTACTGACAAAAATTAAAAAAACATGAAGTACCTTTTACCTATCAATCTTATATTTTTTACACACATTTTAAATTCAAATAATAGTTCATGTGTCAAACAAATTTTAGTATTAAAAATATAATAAAATGTACATGTACTTATTGTAGTATTGTCTCCGGTGATCGCTGCTTGCGCCAGAACAGCTTTTCGGTGAACGTGAAAAGATTTCTCTGGCAGACTATAAATTGTGAGATTCAGTTTGTATACTTGTATGTTTAGCATAATATGTGTGTAGCATTTGCGACAAACAATAATTAGGTATGCATATAATTATTGAGACATAAAATATTTCTAAAAAAAATTGTATTGGTAGAACAAGTACACTAAGAGTTTAATGTGACTAATGTGAGAGTAAACAATGACATGTCAATCAACAAGTCTCAGCAATGGTCCTCTTTTAACTGTCATCCTTTTCCCAAAAATAAAATAAATATGTATAACTATAATAATGAAATTATAATTTTGAAATATAATAGAATATATTCATGGCAATCTTAGCTAGTTTAATTTTATTAAAAACTAAAAATATAAAGATAAAACTTAATACAATTCAATTATCACTTATCCGTGGTCCAATTTAAACGGTGACAAGGGTTTCCTTGGATTTCATCTGGTGAACGTTTATGCACAGATACAAAATGTATTTTTAATGTCTGTTTTCGTGTGAAACATTTCTTGCAGTATTTACATTGAAACTTTGGTTGTACACCACATTCATTGGTCATGTGGCGGGTCAAATGCTGTTTATTCTTATAGCTTCGACCACACATATTTAAACAGAAGAAACGGACTTCTAATTCAGGATTTTTTGTATTCATGAAAATAGCTTTTTGACGAAATGAAATACCTAGAAAAACCATATTTTATTTTAAGCTAGGTAGGTATTATACAAATTGCAATAACAAGAGTAGAATTGATTTAAATCATTAAAATAGGTACTATGAATAAAATATTTTGCAATCACTAATTTATAATTTAACATACTATGAAAGGAACATGTGCATATAAATTATTAATTAGTGATAAACAAATTTTTTCTTTAAAGTTATTATTGTAAATATTTTTATAAATTATTTAAAACACGACTATAAGAAAAGTAATAACCTACCACTACGGCATTAGCTACTAAATGTATCCACGGTCCAGAACCGTAGCATGTGCAATAAAATTAAAATATGAGCATGAAATAAGAAGAACCAAGCAGGAAGCTATACATAATACATTTTGTTGAAACTTATAAATTACATATCTTTTTTCAAACTACAAGTATAATGTTGTACACATCAATATTATTATAATAAAATTAGTCAAACAAATATTTACAAAAAAGTAAAGATTTGGACAAACCTATTTTATTTAATATATCAAATATTCATCAACAGTAGCAATGTAGTCATATTCATTATTATATTATATAATGTCATATTCATTATTATATTATATAATGTAAATTTCTATTAATGATGAAGTAAGTATTTAAGCTGCCATTTAATGTCTATTGTACTTAATTAATGAATAATAATGAACATTTATCTGATTTTTATTTCTTTTAGATAACAGTTTTAAGTTAAAAAATGTGTTACAAGTCTTTTAATAGTTTACATAAAATATTATTTTTTATGTATTATGTTCTCTACTCTTTGCCCTGGTGGGTGTTTCTTTAAATATAAATAAATGAATAAAATAGTATTCAATATACATAAAAATAAAATCTGTTTTATAAATATATATATATATATATAGAAGCTTGAGAACATTTATTAGATATATTATCAATTGTTACCAATTGATCTTGGTTGATAATTTTCTAAAGTATATTTATGGTAAATACAAAAAGATAATTTACAGTTAAATAAGCCATTACCTATGTAAATCCATTTTTGGAAAATTAAGTATGTAAGTAGGTGAATCCCGGAAAAAAAATCCCCAGACTACAATATTACTCACAACCTCTTGCAAATGGTTGAAAAAATATTTTTTAAACGTTAATTAGTATCTATAATTAATATTTAATTACAAATACGTATATTATATTATATTGTTAAAAAAATTATACATATATTATAAATAATATTTTGTTTTAAATTACGATAATATATTATGTGTAATTCAAATTAAATAACTAACTTAACAACGTTACAAATAGGTGTATTATAGAATATAAAAATATTTTGAATTATCAATACGTCAAATAACCATAGTTAAACACATATACTCTGTTCAAAATGAGATGATGACTCGGCGGCCAAGTTGTGCGCATGGACGTGGCTTTGTTCCATTGCAGCGCCCGACGCGTCGCCGTAGTGGGGACATCGTCTGACCGCCGGCCGACGAAAATTGGTCGCCGCCGAGTCATCATCTCATTTTGAACAGATTATAGTATACAAAAATATTATACAAAATATAGGTAATAAAAATAATATAAATAAATAATTATAAATAATTTTTGAAAAATTAAGAACAACATTTTATATTACTATATTAATACGAGTACACATTTTATGTTGGTATAATTCTGTGAAAATTAAATCCCTGAAATAAAATATTACGTTTTCAAAACTTCAAATATTACTTATGATTGTTGTGTGAGGTGTAGGTAATGTACACAAATATATAAAGTATAAAAATATTTCGAGTGATCGATACGTCAAAGAATACAGTTCAAAACATAGTAGGTATAAAAAAATATTATAAAAAATTTAAAATATAGGTGGTAAATGGTAACATCAATAATAATAATAATAACTATAATCATAATAAAATAATTATCAAACAATAATTTATTGAATTTTGAATGTATTATAGTCACCTACTCACAGTAAAAACAAAACATATACAAATATTTAGTAGGTATTATAATATAGGTATACAAACATTTTATACGAAATATAGGTGGTAATAATAATGATAATAATAATAATTATAGGTACCTATATTTTGTATATTATTTTTGTATACTACCTATGTTTTTAACTGTATTATTAATTGACGTATCGATCATTCTAAATATTTTTATAATTTTTTAACAATATAATATAATATATTATATTATAATAGAATATAATATACGTATTTGTCATTAAATATTAATTATAGATACTAATTAATGTTCAAAATATATTTGTTCAACCATTTGCATGTGATTGTGAGTAATATTGTAGCTGGGGATTTTTTTTCCGATTACCTAAGTAGGTGTATCATAATAATTTTCATGATTGTTGATTTTACGAAAAGATTGTTTTCATTTTTTATTCATACCAACGATAAGTTTTATAAATCAAATTAAACAAGTGTAATTTGAACCTAGGTATTCATAAACTACCAACAGTTCAAACAATCACACACATAGACCTTTCAAAAAAAATTTTTTTTAAAGGATACTTTTAAAAATGGAACATTTTTGTTGTATTTGATATATGAAATAAATAATAATATTTCCTAGTGTACAAGACACATAGGAAATGTATGATTAGAGGTAGTAAGTAGGTACCTGCTAATATTAAAAATATATAATCAATAATAATTGTTATTATATTTATATTTTTATATTATAAATTATCAATAACTGAGATAAAACTTATAAAAATCTGACAAATAAAATTTACAATAATTACAATTGCATACCCAAATCCAAATAACATTTAATAGAAATTAAAATAAATATTTTGTGTACCTATTACATATTCAACTTGCATCATAAAACAATAATACTACGAGGTTTTAAGTACTTATAAATTTAATACATTGTTTTGGAAGTACATAATTCTTTTAAGTAATAATATTATGAACAGGTAGATAATAATATTCCTCTTCATATTGATACAAGTTGATAATAAATTCACCTACAATTAAAAGTATTTCAGTATAAAAATCCCTATAGAAATTTAAAAAAAAAAATCTGTAATCTCAATACTTAATAAAATATATATTATATTATGTATCCACTAACCAGTTAGGAAAACAAATATTAATAAGCACACTGGACACTCATAGAAGATGTTGCTATGCGTCAATTTTGCAGTATCTGTACCTACATGACGATTAGCTAGTCATTATAAAGAACATATAATACAAGCTATTTAGAAATTAAAGTAAGACATGTATTGTATTATTTTATAATTTAGGTTAACTAAAACACTTATAACTACAATAATAAATTATAAATAATACAGATATAACAGAAATTGAAAATTGTATTGTTATTAGTTAATATTTATTTATTATTAACAAGTAAGTATCTACCAAATAATCTAATCTAACTTATACATTTTTGAATCTGCGATCTGTCTGATTCATTTTAATACTATAGCAGAAGCATAGGTATATAAAATAATAATTGTATTGTTTCAACTTGGTCAGCAAGTGGTAATCAAAATAACTCCATAAAGTACCTAATTACATTAAATGAACAAAGTTTCATGACTCCAATAAAAAAATGAAATTGTTTTTGTAAGTTTAATTAGGTTTAAAGATTTGTTTATACCGGCATAACGTATGGTTATTGTTTAACTATTATATAATATTAGTATACATTTCACAAGCATCAAAAATGTTCACACTGGTTAATAGCATCAATTTTTGCCACACATTTTCGTAAATGTTTTTTCAAATGGCACTGAAGTTTGAATTGATGGAAACACATAGAACATTGAAATTGTCGTTTAACACCACATTCGTACCTTAAATGACGGATAAGACTCTTTTTGTTTAAATATGTACGTCCACAATTATTCAGACACACCCAACGTCTATCTGGTAACAATAAGAATTTATAAATTAAACAAATTACATCAATATGCAATGTCATTAATATTATAATTTTTAATCAAATTATTAATGGTAGCAATGCAGTAATGAAGGAATAAAATAGTATCTACAAAACATAATAATATTTAAATAATATAATTATTATTTTGTTTAAAATGGGTATTTTGTATTTACTATAGTTGAACTGTCTATATAGCTCCAGATAGAAAGGATCGTCCCCCTTTTTATGTCACTGCCCTCCACAATATTTACTTGCAATATTCTATCTATAAAGTTATTTCATATAAATATATGTGTGCATTCATAACATAGCGAGGTGTAATGTGATATGTACAGATAATAATATCAAAATATCAAAATTATATTATATTATGTTTAATTGTATATTAATTATATTATGAGAATATTGAGTGATCTGATAGATACATGAATATATAATATCAGAATGAAAATTTCCTTATTTAGATATAGATCAAGTTGTTGATATTTTTTAGGGGTAAATAAATTTATCTTATCAGGGCTTCTAGAGCAGCGGATCAGTCAGGCCCCGCCCTGTCTATAGGAGCATTGTTAATAATGATAACGTTAACGAGGTAAGGGTAATTTCATAATAATTTATGGAGAAATGCAGAATCTACCCTATAGTAGTCACACATATAAAATAAATGATGCAAACTTGTACAGTATATAGTGGCTGGGTCATGGGTAGTATATTTGTTGTAATATATCATTTTAATGTAATATTAAATATATAGGTGCATTAAAATAAACATCACCATAAACCTGAGACAGTTGTCAGAATCTAAAACTGACCATATACCTGATGTATATACAGTGAAACTTCCATATTACAAAATCTCATAGGGAACAAAAATAATTTGACTATAGAGAATTCCGTTAAATAGAATTAAATAAATTTGGTTCTCAAAAAAATTTTGTTAAACAGAATATTTTGTTAAATAGAAGTTTGTTATATAGAAGTTTCAAGGTAATATAATTTAATATACTTTAGTTATAATTGATTACTATTAAAGAAAAATTTTCCAAAATAGTACTTGGTTAGACTATCATTTGAAAAATTGTATAAAACAAAATAAAGTTATTGGTAATGAACATATTTTATAAATTTATTTTATTATTGTACAAAAAGGAAACACATACAATCATAATACAATAAATTGAGAGCATATTTTAATTACTATATAATATTATATTATATATTTACAGTTATAAAAATATTTATAAAAAGATAAGTGAATATTTGTGATGTATAATTTTAATATGCATATAAAATAACTATATGAATGAAGTTGAATAGGTACCTTTTAGTAAATTAGATAGATAGATAATCTTTAAGTGGTCACTCCACATCACAAGATTGTGGGAGTGATATATAATAAAATAATTTTTAAATTGTAGAACATTCATTTTTATAAATAAGTTAATGATTGAAACAATTATATTTGAGCAAACTAAGTATTTTAAGACATTTTTTATTTTTCATACAATACGGGTGTGAGCCCAAGACATAACTAATAGCTATGAAATAGACATGTTCTGGACTTTATGAACCTATACCTAATTTAGTTAACAAGTATTTTTGAGATGAATAAATTGGCTAAAAATATAAAATAAATATAATATACATATTAAATAATTTCATCGATATTATCAATAATTTTTGTTTTTTTTTTACCGAGGCTGAAACAGAAAATACTAATTGAATATCTCGGCTTCGCTCGTGTGGAAGTTTTTTGCAGCAAATCCTATATATTTTATACTATATACACTATATAGGTGTATCTCAGTTTTAGTGTACCATAGTTCATGGACAAATAGGTGTTAGTTTACCTAGATTTGAGAAATAATTAGACCTAGATGAGAAACCATAAGTCACCGATTATATTTAGCACTTGGAATATTTTTAGCATGGTTTAAGCTACTTAATCTCTAAACTTTTCTGAAATCTCTAAAAAACAATCCCTGAGATTTTCCTTAAATTCAATTCAGTAGATTTTTAGTATATTAGCTATGCACATACATTTGGTTTTAAGGTATAGTTTCTTTATACTATATCATAAAAGCAAAAATTTGATGCATGCTTGTACCTGATCTGCCTGAGTAACCAATGTCAACTATTTATAAACAAAAAAAAGTTTTAATTTCTATCATGAATCTCAAGATCCATGTTTGAGAATGCGAATATAGGAAAATCCTTTTTTATTGTACATCCAGAATTCTAGATCATTGGAGGAACCACTGTTCCAAATTTCAAGTTTGTACGTTTTGCAAATTTTGAGATGTAGCGATGACTGAATGGTATTTGGCTTAATTAGATAGATTACAATGTATATAAAATAATTATTTTGAACCTTAAGAAACTATTTTTTTTTTTCAAACAAAATGTGTTAAATGTATAACACAATTATTAAAAAAATAATAGTAATTAATAATAAATAACAATACAATTAAATGTAAAACAACACATATTTTGAGCTTCAAATCATCAAATCTAAATGTATACAAATACAATATTTTTATTGACTAAAGACAATAATATAATAGAATATTTGTAAAATGGAAGAAAACTTAAACCACAAAACTTTTATGAACAAATGCTAAATGATTTTTCCATACATCTTTCCTCATAAATCGTTTATAACAATAGTGGCAAACGTAATTTGGTTCTTTGCCACAATATGATTTTATGTGTCGATTCAAGTCAGGTTTGTACTTGTAGCTTTTACCACAATTGTTGTTGGGACACTTGAATTTCAATAAATCCACATAGTGATTGTTGTAATTTAAATCTGAAAATAGATTTAATTCAATAATAATTTTAAATAATAGAATAATTATATTATATAAATTTCCCTAATTAAGTTATACTCCTTCACTAAGCGAAGGTTAAATCTGGGTCAAAGCATTAGATAAGAATAGCTAATAGGTAAAATAAATAATGAAGTTAAATCATGCTAATACTTTTATTCATACATTTACATCAAACTAAATTTATTACAAGACATGATAAATGTAATTTAAAAAACTCACCAATAAGGTATTTCTTTTTAAATTAAATTAATAATTTGTATGCATTAAAAATTATATAACACCTGCTTAATATTCATAACATTTCAATAATATAACTTTATCTTAGTCATGATTAGATAGCTATTATAATATACGATAAATACAAGATAATATGCAGGATCAATAATTACAAAAAAAAAAAAAAAAAGGCCTTGGTAATAGGAATAAGCTATACAATCGGAAGCAAGACAATGGAGGTAAACAATTTACAATAGTTTCAATTTGTAATAAAAATATTGTTGTGTTTTGTACAAATAATTTTCAATAAAATAAAATATATTTAATTTTAATTGGTTTTTATTGGACATAAAAAGTTAAATGTTTTCATTAATAAACTCTTTAAGTGGTCCATCTACCATATCTGGGTACCACAGCAAGATACAAAGATATACCAATGATCAAAACATTTTTTCTTTCGTTATTCTGTAAAGAATTAAACAAAAGTTCTAAAAACTACGTAACGGTCTATAGAAATGTATTTATTTAAATAAGAATCACAAAATAATAAAAATAACTAAATAGGTATTACTCCATGAACTAATGCTGAATGCCGTTTAAGGTGTGTCTTTTGATTATACGTTTTCTCACAAAGAGGACAGTTGAATCTAATACCACATTCCTTGCGCCAGTGATACTTCATATCCACTGGATGCTTAAAACTTCGACCACATAAATTTGGGCAGACACTGCGTCCATTTGTATTCATGTTAACTTCTGTAAAATTAAAAATAATTGTTGGTTATATAAAATATTTTTAATTTTTTATGGTTAGGCTAACTTACAAACAATATTGAACAAGGAAGTACATGCCATTTTGTTAAAATATTACAGTTTTTTTTTTTCAATTTTTTGTTTTTATAAGAAAATTTACAAACTGTACAATTTGCACAATAAGTAAATATGGTATAAGAAGATTATTTATAACAGCGAAGAATTAGAGGAGAGCAGCCACCCATTAGTGCCACTTTCATTTTGAAGTAATTATTACAGACAAATTACATATATATTTTTTTTTACATTTTGTTTTCTTATTTATACGACAAGCAAATCACTGCACCATTTACGTTTTAACCTTCTTGGAAGGTTACTGGGGGATTGTTTGAGTTGTGAGATATCTAGCAAGCGGATTGAGGTGAGATAGTAAGCGAAGGTGGAAAAGTTTGTAATATATTTTGGCTTCATCATGCACTAGTGGAATTTTTAGATCTGAGTGAAAAGTATCTAGATACTTAGGGAGGGGCATTTAATAATTTACAAAGTGCTATATTTTGAAAAGTTTGGATTTTGTTTAGGTTAGACTTTTTTGCGTTACCTCAAAGTTGCAGTCCATATGTCCACAAGGGTTTAAGTAAGGGTTTGTAAATAAGGAGTTTAGTACTAGTGTGTGTATATTTGTTATTATAAACGAGATTTTTTAGTAGATGTAATCGTTGGTTTAAATTAACTCTTTTGGATTTGATATGCTGGGCCCAGGTCAGCATTTTATCAAGGGTTAATCCAAGATACTTAGTATTCTGAGCACTTGGAAATTGAGTCTCATAAATGAAAACATCATCGCAAGGGGCAAGTCTGAGGGTGAACGCCGTATGGATGGATTTGGATTGATTAATTTTAAATCTCCAGTTGATGTACCGGTCTTCCATAAGAGTGAGGTGAGATTGGAGATTTTGAATTGCTAAGAAAAGGTCGGAGTGAGTAGAGAGTATAGCTTTGTCGTCCGCGTAATCTGCAACCGTTGTGTTAGGAGAGGTTAGCCGGTTAGAGGCATATATATTATAAAGGATGGGGGAAAGAATACCACCTTATGGGACACCCGCAGCAATATTGGCAATAGAAGAAACGCATTACAAACCCTTACTTAGAATTACGACCAGAGAGATATGATTTAATAACGTGAAATTAAGTGGGATGAAGAATTTTTTTTAATTTGAAGAGGAGGCTGTCATGCCAAACCCTAAACGCCTGAGAGATGTCAAGAAATTCACTTGTACAGTAAAGTTTTTTCTCTAAAGCGTAAGATACAGCATCGATGACTCTATGGACTTGTTGTATAGTTGAGTGGCCAGTGCGAAATCCAAATTGAGAATTGGGAATGATGGAGTTTTCCGCGATACACGGAAACAAACTTTTGTGTATTAGTTTTACCAGAATGCTTATGGGACAAAAAGAGAAAATTGAATCAGGTGGCTTATTAAGTTTGGGGACTAAGATAAAAGTAAAAAATGTCCATAAAATTGAGAAGTAAGAGAATCGTATAACTTAGTTAAAAATATGGGAAAGATGAATAATTGCTTTTTTAGATAAACATCTAGCTACTCCAGCTGTTATAAGGTCCAATCCTGTGAATTTTTTAAGGGAGTATCAATTTATGGTAAATTTTATATCATTTGGTGTGAAGTGTTTAACAGGAACAGCCGAAGGATGTAATGGAGAATTAAGATAATCATTAACAGTATTAATAATAGTATGAAAAAATATGTCAGGGTGAGGTTGGAAAATATCAGCAAGATGTACTTTAAAAAGTTCAACCTTGCCAATGTCAGAATTTACATAACTGCCATCTGGATTTTTAATTGGTAGGTTAGCAGATTTATATTTACAAATTTTTCTAGTCTCTTTCCAAAGAATACCATCTTTAGTAGAGAGATTAGAAAGAAAATTAGCAAGAGACTCATATTTATGTTTTGCCAACATTTTTTTAAGATGGTTGGCTAATTTATTATATTTTTGTTTATCAGACTGAAGACGCGTTCCTTGGTACAAAAATACGTATATTGCAATTAAAAATTAAAATTTTGTAAATTATGATCTGCGGATACTCATTAGGTAGGTAACTTAATTAAATGTATAACGTATAATTATTTTTGTTTATAGTTTCTACTGCTTATATAGGAAGCTGTTATCAAAGGCAATAATAACATATTATATAAATAAGTTAATTTTAATTTGAATCATATTTTACTCCAGCAATTTATGTAATTCTACATTTTACTATCAAACTGTAATTATCTACTGAAATAGTGATAACTGCACCTACACAATTTAATATAATTAAGATCAAAATACTGCAGGCAATGAAAATTTGTATTTTCATTTTTTTTTTTTTTTATTAATTTAATAGGTATCGATAATCTATAATGGTACAATTAAAAAAAAATCAATAAAAGATAATGTTACATTATATTTAAAAATGATTTATATTTAAATAATGTTTATACATGGTGTAAATAATAAACTTTTTCAAAAGTAAATTATATGTCATTTTTTTTTTGTTAATATTGCTAAAAGAATACATTTCTAAATATTTTTACAATTATAGATTAAAAACTTAAGTAACATAGTACATCAGCAGTTCTCAACCATGTTGAAGATTTTTGAAGATCCTTTTATTATGATAGCGTTAAAAAGTGTACCAATGTATTGGCGATCCAAAAAAAAATTGTTGCGATCAACAGGTTGAGAATTGCTGGTATATACAACACATAATAAATGACTTATTATTCAATAAGTTATATCTATGCAAAGTTAAAGTTTTATTTTCTATTTTGAAGTAAATTAACATTACCTACTGTAATAGTTACTAAGCTGTCTCCTTACATTATATATTACATTGAATTATAAATTAAATGAAAAACAACATTGAAACTATCATTTCCATAAAATAACTACCTACAAATCTTTATTTTAATATTTCAATATATTGAATAATATTGGCCTTATTTTTAGAACTTATAGAACATCATATTATTTGTTTGAGTCTTTAAAACAATTTTATCTGTATTTAGATGTTCAATATTTATTTAAAACAAAATATCAAAACCATATATTATATTGTTTTGGTTTGTGTATATTTAATAAATACCCTGTCCTGTATTAAATAATTAATCTAAATAAGAAATAATGTTTATTTGTCAATTGAAATAATTTATTTAATAATATAGGAATAATAAATTTTAAGTCATGGTCAAGTTTTTTGTTGTTATAATACAAAGATACTCAAACTAAATTTATATATATATATATATAATTATAATTAAACATATTTAAAAATATGTATTGTTGTGGTCCCCAATAAATTTTCAAAAACATTTGTGTATCATTAGTAAGTGTTTTTTCAACTGATCATTCAAATGAAATGAAGCATTGCAATAAAGACATGTATAGTATTTATTTTTAGTACAATATTTTTGCATGTGTTCTTCAAAATTACTAATTACTGTATAAGTATATCCACATCCATTTGGACATTCCATAAACTTTGGAAAATTTTCTTTTAGTTTCAATTTTATCTGAGGTCCTAGAAAACACATACAAATTAAAATATATTTATAAACTGAAATAAAAATTTTGATTTATACGTCAATGAATGAAAAAAATGCATCAGCGAGAGGTATAATATTATTATGTTATAGCAAGTAAGAAAACAAAGAGGCAATTAAAAATATTCAAAGCCAAACTAAGATTAGAAGCGTGCTAGAATTTTAATTAACTGAAAATTGTAAAGAATAAGGACAATTTTATGAAGGTTGATAGTATAAGGTAACATAGGTGACGACACTTCAAAAACATGATAGGGGTTACAGTAATTAAATATTTTAAAAATAGGAATGCAAATTGAAAAAACTGGTATTGATATAACAAAATTGCATTGGGATATAGGTACACTCATTAACCGATAATTTTCTTTTGCCACCTCAGACCCTGTTTCTGGTGTTAGAAGGGGCAATAGTATCGTTTTATTACCTCGAATAAGACTAAGGAAAAATTGTCCCTCGTGCCACCACAAATGTCGCATATGATCAAAAATATTATAATATGTAACATTTTAAGAAAAACATTTAACACTTGATTAATAAATTTATTATTTTCATGATATTTTTACTGTACATCTAAAGTATGATATTAATTAAAAATATAATGAATTATAGAAAAAAATAATTATATATATAACAAAAAATAAGGGTTAACATGGAAATCACTAATAATAGCTTAATACTGTAACATAATTAATAAATTAAAATTTGTGCAAAACCAATATAATGCTGGTTAGGTAAGGAATTGGTTGCAATTCTGGGAGCTATTTCATATTTATGAGGTAAATAATTTAATGTTAATAAATAATAAATTAACATAAGATGAAATAAATGAAAAATAAGATTGTTGGTATTTGCAGAATTGGATGGTTGCTTCTTAATTTTGAATATAGAATACACATGACGTATATGATTACACGACAAAAGCGAAAAAATGTAACAAAATTATGACAGAGGAGCAATGTTTTCTTTTTTAGCAAGTGTTGTCGTACGCAATCTACCAAAAATTTGAAATTAAAAAAAAAAACATATAATTATTCCTATATACTTTTACCCGATCATAAACATGTATGATACATTTAAGACTGTCCTACATGCGCTTTATAACCCTATTCATACAATAAGATAAAATTAATTACCTATATAGAGAACTGGGAATCTACAGAGAAATTAATTTAGTAAACATTTTGACTGTCCCACCAGTACAGTGCGTAGGTACTAATGAGTTACTTATGCACATGATTTTATTTATTAATATTTAATGATGAACTCGAACATTGTCCATTTTTATCGAAGTACAGAGTTAGACTTACTCAAAAAGGCCTACCGTGAATTTTAGTTTAAAAGAGCCCCAAAATACAAAAATATAGGTAGGTGTATATGTATGTCAATTAGTAAAATTATTCATTGTTACACATGTACAAAATATATTATATATTAATGTATAATTTTAAAAATATAGTTTTTAGTTAACCAAATTTAGATTATCCATAACCACTTATAGCGTTTAAAAACATAAAAATAAATAGATGATTTTCTAACCATGAATACAACATTTTTAGTTTAAAAAAATAGTAATATTGAATTATAGATTACTTAGAGTTATATATTATTATTATAAAAGTGTTGTTTACATTAAACTAGTGATTATAACAATAAAATAAATAATATTTGTATAATTAATTTATAAAAAAAAAATACCATAGTTTAATATTGATTTTGGGTAGATTGCTAAAAATCATGTTTGATAGATTGCGTACAACATCACTACCCTTAAATGTATAATAAGTGATGCATTGTTTTAGGTATATCAATTTAATAGAAAAATAAAATATAATATTATTATGACAATGAAATTAAATAAAAATGTAATAATTTATCGACCATTAACTATGTATGTATTTACCAGTAGTAAAAATAACATTTTTGCATGTATGTTTTATAAATATTAAAATGTACAATATGCTCACAACTTAACGAAAAATATTTTTATAGATAAGTACTTTTAACTTAAATTATTATTAAGTTGAATTGTTTTCAACATTCTTTTGTTTATTATATACAGGAAAACCATGAATGTAAATCATATGTGATTTGAGTGATTGCTGCTGTGTAAATCTTTTATGACAGACTATACATTCAAATTGTGGTTCTTTACCACATTCATATTTTACATGTCTGAAGAGTCCACTTTTATATTTGTATCCCCGACCACAGCCAGGTTTTTCGCATACATAGGGCCGCCATTCACTGGGAGTACACAACGATAAAGATAAGTCTAAAAAATAATTAATCACAATTAGAAATAAATTATACTTTTCATAACAGTAAATAATGCAATCAGATTCTACTTAGGCAAATAATAAACACATAACTAAACAAAATACAAAATATACACGAGTACTCAAAATGGTCAAATTTAAATGTCTTACATTATCAAATTCAATAATTTATAAATATTATATAGTAACAATTTCCTCACCTGTATCATAGCTTTTGATAAATTGATGGATTTATTGGATATGTGTTAGATACTGATAAAATAATAAAGTTAATTGAACAAACAAATGTTATAAATTGTTATTTTTATTTCTAGTTACATTTCATAGTTCAACTCCCTTACTCAGATTGAGAATACTAATAATACACATCTGATAATAAATAAAATTCTGAAAAATTATTAAAACCTGAAATGTAAATTCTATTCTATTAACATTTTAATTATTAAATATTAAAAATATTATAATTTGAGAAATAATTAAATTAGATATAATGTTGTTTATGAATAAATATCATATGTCTACGAAGGTGCTCTTTACGTTTGAATGGCCTGTTGCACATAACACATGGAAACTTCCATTCAACTCCACATTCATATTTGATATGTCTTGCCAATCCTCTACTGTATGTGTAAAGCCGATAACAATTAGGACATTGATAGGAGGGTACTGTAAATCGAACATTTGTTTGAATTATATACACCATTACTATATATAAATATTTTTAAGTTGTAACTAAGCTAAGCAAGAAATAAAAAATATTAATAATCTACAGTAAATTTTCTAAACACTAATTACCAAACAATTTAATACATAATCCATGGGATATAATTCCACAAATACATTTTTTTGGTAAAACAGGAACATCCTGGAATAATTTTTTATAATATGAGGTTGTTAATACAATTTGTAAATACACAAACACCTGTGAATTAAGATTATAATATCTCAGTCCACGCTAAGGACTAAGATAATATAAATTAGAAAGTCAATTAATTCCATACATTTAAAATTTTTTTTTGCAACACTTATTTTTTATAAAAATGCTTTTTTTTTATTACGATTAAATATTCAAATTTAGTATGAATACTTAGATAATACAATTACAACTATCACATAATAACTAGACCTTAATTATAGTGTATCACTTTTGTGTTTTAGCACAATTTACAAAATAGTGTATAATAGTGAAAACTCCTTATAGATTCATTATGTATTTAAGTTTAAAAAAATTGAACTATTTTATCATTTAAATATCAAAAGAATAAAAATATAACTTCCAAAACAATATTGTGTATTATTAACTATTCATCAGATTTTAAAGGTTAAAAAAAATTGTAACTTTAAACATTTAATTGAAATATAATATGTACACACTTCATAAATAAAAAAAAAAAGTGGGTAAGGGAATGTCGCTCTGCTGTAGAGTATGTTACAAGTAGGTCACTGTAATAGATGGTGTTAAATTTGAATTCAATAATATAATATCATTGTATAAGAAAAACGATTCTGAGCAAAAACGGTCAATCAGCCTATGATATTACTAAGTATATTTGATGATATTATTTTTAATAAAGTAATTTATATAATGTAACATATTTACGTGGCACCTTCTTTTAAATTTTCAATCCTTAGCTATAAAAGTTGAACTTTTTATACATTTTTAACTACAAAATAATTATTAAATTTTAAATTTCATAATTTTTGTCAAAATCTGAACTTTAAAAGCTTGTTTTTAAATTATTAAAAAATTGTTCCTATGTATTTTTAATATTTTCAACTGATATTGTAACAATATATCAGGAGCCTTGCATTACATTTTCAGGCTTTTTTACCCAACTTTTTATTGATATTTATAGAATAGAAAACTAATGAAATAGGAAAATTAAAATGTCCCTAAACAGTTCAAAACAAATCAAAATATTTTGAAAATGTTATCGTATATAGAAAATGTGAATATAAACAAGCAGTGAAAATTTCATGTATATACATTCATTTGTTTTAAAGTTGCGCCAAGAACCAAAAAACCGATTTTGCATTAAAATTACTGTTTTTCCCGGCATTTTTGAAAACTATTGTGAATTTTAAATGTTGACCTCCCCAATGCAATAACTAGATTCACTTCCCCATCGAAAAAGAAACTGTTGAAGAAAATCAAAGCAGTTTTACTGCCCCAAACAATGATGATACGACACAAGAAAAATAAATATATAAAAAAAAAAACCCATCATTGTAAAATCAATACATTCATCGTTCCACTCAGAATCTAGAAAAATGTATGTTCAATTTATTAACCAACTTAATTTTAAATTTTACAATATAATTCTATGAAGCAAGACCATATGTCTTTGATAACTCATTTTATGCTTAAACATCTTGTTACATATTGAGCAACGAAACTCTGGGGGCTTTCCACAACCAAGGCGTACATGGTACTGAAAACCATTTTTGGTTCTGTATTGTCGTCCACATTGTAAACATATGTATTCTAAAATTAAAAAAAATATTTTATTATTTAAAACTTAAATATAGTACAATATTACCTAATAAAGTATATGTATATTTGTAAACATAATATGAATATTAGTACAAAATGCATTAGGTACTTTTTAAGTATAAGCAGTGGCAAGTCGTGAGTCTATAAGTCGGGGAGATT